TTTTTTCTGAGATATAATTGGCATGATTTTTGTCTTTGCTGAAGTACTTTGGCAATTGGGACACTATAGCTGCCCCATTTTTAACATATAATGACAACATTTCTTAACCAACACTTTGATGATGCACTTAAAATTCAGTCTTGGCAGATAATTTTTGCAACTTAATTTCTAAGTTAATTTAAACCCCCAAACTTTACATTAATTGTCTAAAGAATAATGCTAAACTGACCATTTTTTTTCAAAATTGTGAAATGCATTAATTTATTTTCCCATTAAACAGTCTTTAAAAATGCTTATTCCTCCAGTGGTTTTTTTGTACCTCTTTGCTTATCACTAGAAGCTCCACTTCAGATTTACATATGACTGAAGTAATACGGTTTGTATTAGTCAAAAGGCAGATTTCCTGCAGAGGAAAAACAATTATAAAAAGAATCGTTCAGTCTTCTTTATGATTTACTTTGTAGTAAACCAGTACATAGAGGACTGTTCAACTCAGTTGTAACAGTACAGTGGGAAATCCTGAAAAGTACTCAGTGGGCATGTCTACCCAAGATGCTAACTGCTCAGTAGCTTAATAATACATGGACAGTGCTAATATGCAAATGCACAATATTATTAGGTTAGTGAACAGTAGGTGTCACAAAAAAAGGCATTTGCCAGCGCTGCTGCTCAGTAACTCCAGTTACTGCAATTATTTAGTACTTGATCATAAAAATACTCATGTTTAAAAACTGGAGAAACACCAGAGGAAATTTTGGAAAGATAATTATTGTGAGTACATAAAAATCAATGATTTTTTAATGTAAAATACCATCTAAATGGGCATTCAGTTCAAATAATCAAATGATGCCTTCTATATGAGCAGCACCTCAGGGAAGAATTCAGCCAAAATACTTTCAGGGTACAAAGTCAAAAGTGTTACCAACATTGTATTATATAATCTACAAAATGGAAATGCATTTAATCAAATGTGTTTGTTTTCTTTTAATCTTGTTAGGCATATGGCACATTGCCCTACAGAGATGTAACAACATGGCATGCTATGGCAATGTAGCAATCATGTGCGTCTACATGTAATCAGAAGCTATGTTGCCATCATGGCACACTCCCCGCCTGCCAGTATAGTGCATCGCTACAGTGACATCACAACAAAATCTAACTGTGCCCTGTGCATGTAACCTCCCATACTGTGCTATGCTTTAATACTTCCAAAAGGAAGTAGTAAAGTACAGCACTATCAATGTTGCCATACAGCGACGTGTAGATGTGCCCCATAGAGTATGAGACAGATATTCCCTCTTAGCAGCATGTTGATACACTGCTGACTGTGTCTATCAGATGTATGGCCTGACTGTCTCCTTCTACAGAAAGTAGCTAACAAGAAGCTCATCTATGTGGAATTTCTTCCAGTTGTTTTTACTGGCTGTTTCTAGTGCTTCCCAGTGGCCACCAAGCACCAATGAAGTATAGTAACAAGGCTCCTACTAAAAGTGATTGCTTCATCAACTTCCTACTATGATGTGGACTTGTGGAAAGTTACATTCTTTCTCTGTCCTGGAGCACTAGTATGCTTTCCTATCTCCTTATCTGTGTCCATGTTCCATGTCTGCCCCAACTTGCTCTTTCTTCCTCTGCATATCAAAGGACTCGTGGAGTAAACTTCCACAAGTTTTGGACAGGGGATGACTTTATAGACACCTGCAGGCTCCACTCCACATGAAGTAGAACCACACCATAAATTATTCCGTTTTCTAATATGATATCACAAAAACTAAACAAAAGTTTCTGACATTCACCATAAGTAAAAAAAAATGCAACCAGAATTTCAACTTTGTAAGTAATATTAACACTTAATAAGCTAAGGTAATTGGATATCCAACCTTTATTGACCTCCTTTTTGTGCTTTTGAAAATATATCCCCTAAATATTTTTAAAGTATATTTTCTTTCCAAATATTTTAAATTAACATATTTACCCCTATGAAATCTCCTTCTTCAGCTTCATACAACATTTCAGAGGTGAAAGTTTGGGCTTTCAAATTTGCATCACCTGATAGGACTTCTAATTTTCCAGACAGTACTAAATAACATTCATTTGGTACATGTCTTTGCCTTATAATTATTGTTCCAGCTTCATACCTAAAGAGAAAAATCAACAATGTAATAAAGCTAAACCTGATGCAATATCAGCAATGCACAATTACTACAGTATTTAAAATGTAAACAGCAGTATACAGACATCAGAACATATTCTCCTTGAATGAAAGAAAATGAGTCCATAAATAATTGACCTACTTTCAACAACAGGCACATATGGTTTTATATCAGCATCAGAACACTATATCACAGAAACTGAAATATAAACCTAATCTGAACATGCAATTATCAGGATCATGTAATTAACAGTAGTGTGCAAATCATCACAGGTTCCTTGCATGCACATTTCCTGTACTTCTACCACAAATCATTAAATACTTATGCAAATGATTATTTAAATATGCACATATTTTGCATATAAACAGAACACGCAGCATTCTGAAAGTCTTGAGCCCTGGATACCAAAATACTGATCTGCAAGATCTCCTGATTGACCTTTACAGGAGCTGTGAGAGTAGTTGCAAATAATTACCTCAGGTCATATCAGTACACGACTGCACAGAGCCTGGGAAACAAACAGGGAGAATTGGAAGTCTTTGCACAGTCACAAAACTATGATGTGACTAGAAAAACAGAGACTTGGTGGTACAGCTCGCATGACTGGAGCACTGTTTTGGATGGGTATAAACTGTTCAGGAAGGACAGGGAATGGAGAAGAGAAGGAGGAGTTACTCTTCATGTAAGAGAGCTGTGTGATTGCTCAGAGCTCCAGTATGAAACCGGAGATAGGCCTGTTGAAAGTCTCTAGGTTCGAGTCAGAGGAGATAGCAACAAGGGTGATGTTGTGGTTAATGTCTACTATACAATATATATAATGTCTATCAGACCAGGGGATGAGGTGGATGAGGCTTTCCTCAAACAGTACAGGTTTCCTGATCACAGGCCCTGGTTCTCATGGGGGATTTCAATCACCCTGACATCTGCAGGGAGACCAATACAGCAGTGCACAGGCAATCCAGGAAGGTTTTGGAGAGTATTGGAGACAACTCCCTGGAGCTAGGGTTGGAGAGGCCAACTTAGGGGTCGTGTTCTTCTTGACCTGCTGCTCACAAACAGGGAAGAATTGGTGGGAAATGTAGTAGTGGATGGCAACTTGGGCAGCAGTGACCATGAGATGACTGAGTTCAGGATCCTGAGGAAAGGAAGAATGGAGAACAGCAGAGTATAGACCCTGGACTTCAGTAAAACAGACTCTGACTCACTCAGGAAACTGATGGGAAGGGTCCCCTGGGATGCTGGTCTGATGGGGGGAAAGGAGTCCAGGAGACCTGGTTGTACTTTAAAGAAACCTTACTGAGGGCACAGGAAGAAATAAACCCAATGTGCAGAAAGATTAGTAAATATGGTGGAAAACCAGCTTGGCTTAACAGGGAGCTCATTGGGGCTTAGCAGTGAGCTAACACACAAAAAGGAAGCATACAATAAGTGGAAACTTAGACAAACAACTAGAGAGGAATATAAGAGTATTGCTTGGGTAGGGATGAAATCAGGAAGGCCAAAGAGCAATTGGAGTTGCAGCTAGCAAAGGATATGTAGGGTAACAAATATGTCAGCATCAAAAGGAAGATCAGGGAAAGTGTAAGTCCTTTAACTAAATGGGGGAGGCAACCTAGTGACAGATGATGAGGAAAAGACTGAAGTACTCAATGCCTTTTTCACCTCAGTCATCACAGGCAAGGTCAGCTCCCAGACTGCTGCACTGGCAGCATGCTTTGGGGAGAAGGTAAACAGGCAACAGTGGCAAAAGAACAGGTTAGGGACTATTTAGAAAAGCTGGATGTGTAAAAGTCCATGGGGCTGCACAGCATGCACCTAAGAGTGTTGAGGGAATTGGTCAATGTGATTACAGAGCCACTGGCCATCATCTTTGAAAACTCAGGGAGACCAGAAGAGGTCCTAGACAATTGGAAAAAGGAAATATAGGGCTCATCTTTAAGAAAGGGAAGGAGGAGGATCCAAAGAACTACAGACGGGTCAGCCTCACCTCAGTCCCTGGAAAAATCCTGGAGCAGATCCTCAAGGAATCCATTTCTAAGCACTTGGAGAAGAGGGTGATCAGGAACAGCCAGCATGGATTCATCAAGGACAAGTCATGGCTGACCAACCTGATTGCCTTCTATGATATGATGACTGGCTCTGTGGATGTGGGGAGACTGGTGGATGTGATATACCTTGATTTTAGCAAGGCTTTTGATACACTCTCCCACAATATTTTCTCAGGCAAGTTAAGGAAGTATGGGTTGGATGAATTGACTGTAAGGTGGATAGAAAACTGGCTGGAGCATTGGGCTCAGGGGTTAATAACCAATGGCTCAATGTCTAATTGGCAGCCAATATAAAGTGGAGTGCCCCAGGGGTCAGTCCTACAGCTAGTTTTGTTCAATATTTTCATCGATAACCTGGAAGATGGAATGGTGTGCACCCTTAGCAAGTTTGCGGATGATTCCAAGCTGGAGGGAGTAGAGGATACGCTACAGGGTAGGGCTGGAATTCAGAGAGACCTCGACAGATTAGAGGACTGCATCAAAAGAAATCTCATGAGTCTCAATAAGGACCAGTGCAAAGTCCTGCACTTAGGACAGAACAATCCCACCAGCTGGGGAATGACTGGCTAAGCAGCAGCTCTGCAGAAAAGGACCTGGAGATTACATAAAATGAGTATAAGCCTACGGTGTGCCGTAAGCTGAATGTGAACCATAAACTGAATATGAGCCAATCGTGTGCCATTGTTGCCAAGGCTGATGGCATACTGAGCTGCATTAGTAGAAGTGTTGCCAGCAGATCAAGGGAAGTGATTATTCCCCTCTATTCAGCATTGATGTGGCCACATCTGGACTACTGTGTTCAGTTTTGGACCCCCCAATGCAGAAAGAATGGAGACAAATTTGAGAGAGTCCAGTGGAGGACAACAAAAATGGTTAGGGGGATGGGAAACTTATGGAGAGAGGCTGAGAGAACTGGGTTTATTTAGTTTGGAGGGGAGAAGACTGAGGAGGGATTTAATAACAGCCTTCAACTACTGGAAGTGTGGTTCCAAAGAGGATGGAGCTAGAATGCTCTCAGTGGTGGCAGATTACAGAACAAGGAGCAATGGTCTCAAGTTGCAGCAAGGGAAGTGTAGGTTAGATATTAGGAAGAACTTTCTCACAAGGAAGGTAGTAAAGCACTGGAACACATTACCATAAGTGGTGGCAGAATCTGCATCCTTGGAGGTTTTTAAGACCTGGCTAGACAGAGCCTTGCCTGAGATGATCTAGTTAAGGTGGTCCTGCTTTGAGCTGGGGGTTGGACTAGATAACCTCCTGAGGTTCTGTGACAGATGTGCCTCTTCGGGGTCCATCCATTAGTGACCCCGCAACACCGGTTATGGGCCAACCACCCACCTTCTTTCCTGCCATGCCTTGTTGTTACTTGCTTAATTAGAGGATAGTAATCAAGCGGGAGGCTGCCCATTTTCTGTCTCAATGTCTAGGCACTATCTGCGGCTCCTTTCCTCCCCTTACACCGCAGCCCAAGCCTCGCAGATGTACCTGACGTTGTTCAGGTCTGTTCCACTCTCACAACCTGCACCCCACTGACGCTCGACTTGCCTCACAGCCTGCGCCTCACCGGTGCTCCCGCTTGCCGCTTGTAACCTGCGCCACACAGGTGCTCTGGCTCGTCTCTTGCAACTGTGCCCCTCTGGCACTCGTCAATTGCTGTCCCCTCTCCGGGGCTTCTCTCGCTGCCATGGGGCTCAGGTGGCCATAGCCGTACCTGGCCCCAAATCTCCTCCTTGGGGTCTCGAACCCCCTTCCAGGCTCAGGCAGCTTCAGCCTTACCTGGCCTCCAATTCTTCACTCCCTTTTTTGGGACTGGGGTCAGTGTAGCCCAAAATGCGACCATGGAGCCCCTATGAGGCCTCCTCCAGCCCCTAATAGCCTCACCTGGTCCTCCAGTTAAAACAACAAACACAAAAACACAAAGCCCCTGGGCTATAACGTAAAGCTAACCCGTCCGGCCAAACAACATTCAATCCCTACTGGGAAATACTCCAACCCCAGCAGCATCCAGGGGATGCTCACGCAGTCAGAGCTGTCCCCTCTGTCTGCACTGGCTGAGCTCCTCCTTCTTTGGTCACCAGAGGGGAACTGCCCTCCTGGCCTCCTGCCTGGCCTTATATGGGCCAGGCCCTGCCCCTTCCTGTCAGCTGGCTCCCCAGCGGTTGTCCTGGCAACCAGCACCTGTTATTCTGTCTGCCCTGGCAACTAGCAGCTGGGCCTCCCCCATCTTGCCAGTAGGGGTCTCTCCTGAGCTGTTTTCTGCTCTCAGGCGCAGGGCACCTGAGTGTTCTGCGACACACTTCCCCCCCTTTAACTCCAGACTCACTGAGCCGATCTTCATCCTGGCGGGGTGTTGTCTCCGTCTGGGCTCCTCTCTGGGCCTTTCTTCTGGCACCTGACAACCCAGATACAGGAGGTGGAGGTTTTCAGGCACCTCATACTCGCCTTTTCCCCAAGGACGCACCATTTCGGATCTCTTGGGAGGTACCCGCCACTGGTAGTCCCCCCACATTAGCCAGCCTTGGTAGGGTGCACCTAGGCCTGTAGGGCCCCGGACTCAATGTATCCTTCGGCCGAGATGTTAAATGCTGTATCGTAGCCATGGGGGGGCCTGCCTCTCTGATGTCCCTTTCCTTTTTCTTTTCTTCCCTTCCTTTATGAGGCGCTGACCTTCGTCCTCCCATCCTCTGACAGGCTGGGCCTGACTGGAAAGGTTGGTACTTAGAGGGGTCATCCTGCCTCCCAGTAACAGGGTTAAGTTTCCCTGCTACACAACCCCTCTTCTTCTCTTTTGTCTGGGATCCTTCTGTTTCTCCGGGTCCCTCTTCTTCCTTGTATTGTCTTGAGAAGAAGTCGGCATTTGTATTCAGGATCCCAGGGCAATGTTTTATCTCAGAACAATATAGCTGTAGACTAAGGGCCCACCTCATCACCCTAGCA